GTTCCTCCCACTTCTTGTGGTCCATAAATCAGAAAGAACTTCAGTTCATTGACAAAAGTGAGGGAAAATCCACTCAGGTATTATATACAGGACTGGAATGTTTCTATAGGAAAACGGAACATGTGAAATGCCATAGATAAACTTGTCGTTGTCGTCGTTTAGTCGTGTCCAGCTCTTCGTGACTCCATGGACCAGAGCACGCCAGGCAGAGATAAACTTGTAGGCCTTCTCAAACCCCTTGATTTTGTTTGTTTTCACTAGTTTGCAGCACAAAGAGAGCCATTTTAGAATCTTAGAATAATGGAATTGGAAGGGGCCTTATAAGCCTATTAAGTCCAACCCCTTCCAGGCATCCAGATCAATGCAGATTCGACAGCTGGTTGCCCGATTTTCTTTTGAATGCCTCCAGTGTTGGAGCTGACCAACTGCTGAAGCAATTACAGTTAGTTCCATTGCTGTACTGCTCTAACACAACATTTTTCTTGATGTTCCATTACCTTGTGCATATTGTAGGAAGGATAATCCTTCCTGCCTACCTAGCTACCTACCTACCCACCTTTTGTTTTTCTTCTTATTTGTTTTAATTCACTATGTTCAGCCTTTATTCCAATAATCTTCAGTATTTTTTTAAAGAGGCTTTTGGGGAAAGATTTGCCCACATCAGCAAAGAGATATTAGGTTGTGATCCCTCTTATCCAGACTCTACTTTTTGTCAGCAGTCCTGTACCCAGTTCCTGTACCTAGGAATAAGCCCATTGAACTCGGTGGGACCTATATATGAGCAACCGTTTGTAGCGGTATATGGCTAATTCCTTCTCAGCCACAAACATACTACTTCTGCTTTTCTCTTTCGTTTCCTCTTTAGCATAGTCAGGATTTTAATTATGCTTTTCTCACAGAACAGGGGGTGGGTGGAAGACTGGCCTTCTGAGAGCTGTTGGAATTGAACCCCTCCAGCATTTTTTTACCACTTCCTCTTGCTAGCTTGGTAATTGCAGTCCAGCAGCATATGGAGGCCTATACTCTGCCCACCCCATCTTGGAAAATAAGATCAAAAGCTGGAAAAAAAAGAGGTATTTGGTGTTTAGTCTTCTACACACACACACACCTCTCTCTATGTACACACACACACATCTTTCTCTCTCTCACACACACACATATCATATGTATATATACATATATCACGGGCGGGTGGGTGGATGCATACACAGCTTCTTTGAAACTTGGCTGACAGCCATTGGTTGATCCGAGAACAGCAACTGCCATGGAATCCTGAGGTCCGGCGTTCTGCTTTGTCCGGTGATCCTTCTAGAGCTCCTACCCAACTTTTACATCCAGTGTTGTGAGACGGGGAAAGAATCTATTCTGTATTAAACCTAACATATTTTTCTTGTACCACCCCGTGTGGAAGCCTTACAGAAAGTGGGATTTGTTTTTCACATTGCTCCACCACCATCTCAAGAAATCCTGGCTTTGGGTGTAGTAAGACTTCAGTTGTTCCCCAGTCCTTTAGCTATACGTGCCTTTCCCTTCTTTTTTCCACACTGAGTTAATTATTGGAGTTTTACAGAGGGTCTCCTTTGTAATTGGCAAGGACATTTTGTGGTTAGTTTTCTTTTTCTCAACAATTTCCTCTCTTTTTTCCGTATTCAACTGTATGGAGTAAAGTAATTCTAACACACACAATCCCTGAGACTATTGCAGTAGGAACAGCAGCCAACATGGCAGACCTAAATAAATCCTAAGTCATGCTCTTTCCTGCCTTTATTTTTCTTTTATTTTCCTTTTTATTAATGGACCATGTTCCTTGCTGTTGGCCAGTTCTGAAGATCAGTGTTTTCTATGTTGCAGAACCACTGGGTTACTGGTCCGTTAGCTTGTTACTAAAACTGCTAAGAGCTGCTTCCAGGAACTCTGCTGTATTAGAGTAATAGTGCGCCATGCCTAGAGATGGGGTTAGGGAGAGAAGACAGTTATATTGCTTGAGTTCTATTGCTTGAGTTCTTTCTAACTTTTGAAGTTAATGTTTCTTCTGTGGAAAAGAAGAACAAATGTGTAGTTTTACTGATGCTTCAACAAGTTAGCAGGCAGAAGGTTTATTTATTTCTGGCTCCTCCTTATAAGTTGAACATCCTACATACATAGGCATCCTTCAGTCACGAGAGACTATAAGTTTAACATCCTACATACATAGGCATCAGTCACGAGAGACTATGGTAACGTGCTCTGAATGGAGGACTTGGAACAGCATCTAGTGTTTTGACGCTGTACGCAAAGCTGGAGTGTCCTCTCCAGGGCACGAAGCCTGGGTAAAATAATGTGGAGGATACGCTGTTACCCAACCAGGAAATCCCCCTCTCCACATCACTGAAATAGTCCAATGGAAAGGCAATAGCCAATACAACTGGTTTCAGTAATGTCACAGGAGTTGACAGAATGAAAGCAAGAGAAATGTGCCTGCAGCTTGCATAGTAGTTTTGTACTGTTTTCACATAGAAGATTACTAGCACAGAGTTACTTGCCCCAAACACCCATCTTACTACTGAATGGGTCTCTTCACAACTTAGAAAGGGATTCTTATCTTGTATCTTGAGAACTGTGTGCCTGGCCTTGGTGGACATTAATCACTTGTCTTGCAAACTGTCTAGGTGATGTAGCTGATCATCAAGCTGCTTGAACACAATAGATAGCGCCTAGGCCAGTCTTTGCCAGTCCATTTCTGCAGAGCTAGGAACAATTTCCGTGTACCGTCCCTTTTAGATCATCATGAGCCTACTCAAACTCTGTGTCTTCAGCTCAGGTGAGATCTTAATGTCCTGGTTAAGCATTTTAGAACAATTAAGTTGTCAAATGAGAGAAATGATAGTTAGGCATTGCTACTCCCCAGTGTCTTAATATAGACTAAACATTTGTTTACATTTTTTTAAGTCCAAGGCCTTATTCTGGGATTGGTCCTTCATGGCCATCCAGATTTTAGACCTCTGTGTTCATCATCTCTTCTCATCGTTTGTACTTGGGAGTGGCAGGTGTGGATGGGAATAGCTTTTTAGGAGGGGCATATATTACTCACCCCTGCTTTATTCTTTCTGAGAAATTTTTTCAAACCAAAGAAACATAGGTTCATTGATGAACATTTTTTTCCTCCCATGCAGGAGAGGAGGATGTGAAAGACACATGGAGTTTAGCTCGGATGTGAAATAGAGGCCAGTGTGGGAAAGACTTAGGTAGAAAGAGATGTAACCCTCAGGGTCAAAAGTGTGGAGAACTGACCTCTAGCGGTCCCTTGCCAGTTGCTCACCTTGCAGCTATTGGTTGAGGGTCCTTTGGAGGCCTTCATTTGACCGAGGGATGGGCAGACAAAACTCTTAGGAGGAGGAAGGGGGGAAAGTGAAAATTCTGAGGGATGGGACTTCATCTCAATCAAATAAATTGGAAATATGTGCTAGAAAGCCTTACAGATTTTTTTCCACTCTGAAATAAGAAACATCTATTCAAATCAAAGTTTTACTCACTCAGATTCTTTAGCATGAAGATAATCACAAAAGACCTTTTGCAACATAAAGGAATTATTAACAGCAGTATCCAACATTGCAAAGAAACCCCTTCTTTCTCCTGCCAACAGACTGTGTTTTTTCCTTCTCTCTCTCTCTCTCTCTCTCTCTCTGTGTGTGTGTGTGTGTGTGTGTGTGCTCTTTCTTTTTCCATCACCTCCGTTCTTTTTCCCCCTCACTGGTCATTCTTTCCCTGCACCATAGTACTGACCTACTTTGTTGGGTTATTGGGAGCATAATGGTGGGAGGATGGCCATGTATAGTGCCTTGGGATCATTGGGGCAAAACCGTGATGTCATTGAAACAATTAAAAATGACCCCCAGTGCCATGAGGAAGTATTTAATAAAGCTTTATAGATCGTGGAGGCCTAACTTCAGGGGAAAAAACTGGCTTCAAATGGGCCATCTTAGGAAGTTAGCCTGCTGTGGCATTTCAGAACAATCTGGAAGCCCTTTCCAGAGTAAGAGTTTGCACCAGTTAAGCAGTGAGGAAGGGGAATGGCAGCTAGAAATGTGATGGGAGGGCTTGTGAAGACTGCTTGAGCAAAATATTTCATCTCTCAATTCCGGATGAGGACTGCCGACACCAGGACAGGGGAGATTCTTTCTTTCTTTCTCCCCCCCCCACCCTTTTCTTGGTGAAAGACAGACACCCCCAACCCTTTGCAAAGTACTAGGGCATGGTTCTGAACCTGATCAGAGACCCATCAACTCTTTATTCCTGGGTCAGCTTGTGCCTAGTTTGGTTCAGAAATGAACGTATCCCCTAGAGGTTAACCACCTTTTTATGTGCAAGTTTTACCCAGTGATTCTGTGTTAGCATTGAAGTCCCCATCAGTGTTAGTATAAAGCCAGTGGTTGTTTCTGAAACAGCTTCCCTGGGAGCAGCCGAAGCTCTGTCCTGGGTGCTGAAATCAGCTGGGTTAAGACATCTTTAGAAATGTCTTAATTTGTTTTAAATCTGTTCCCAGTTTGGAGGGCGGGCGTTGTAAATATATGGCTTTTTTGATGTTGGTGTTAGCAGTAAATCTAGAGAAAGTATTGATATAGTTTTTGCATGAATGTAAACATTATTAACACAACAGAAGCAAATTAGGACAGACCACAACCTGCTAATAGCTGGTTTTGACAATGTGATAACTATAGACAGAGATGAGTAATGTCGGAACTATTTTAATTCATAGTGGTAGAACAAATTTAGTATTTACAGTCTTTTAAAAAAACACAACTAGTATTAACTCATTAATGGTTTGGTACTTTTTACTGTGTGATATGATGGAGAGGCAGAGAAATTCAAATGAATTGACGGTGTGAACAGTAATCTTAACTAACAATTCTGGTGCTGTTAAATCTGGTGCCATTTATAAAAAGGATGTTTTTAATCTGTATGTCCTTGCGATACTGTTAAGATCCACAGTAACAGTCTTCCTGTTTTCCTTGTCCTCTAAGCTGGAGATGCTGACGATCCACCAAGAATTACTCAAAACCCAGTCATCAATGGGAATGTGGCAATGGCTGATGGCCACAACAATACAGAAGAAGACATGGAGGATGGTGAGTCATCCTTCTGTTTACTTTGAGGACGGTGTGGGAAACTGGCTGTTGTCCTGCATGGAGTGGTATGGAATGGGGACATTTTTGTATGCTCTTGTATACAGTACGTTCCAGAGAAAAAACCCAAAGGGGGACATGATACTTGCCAAACAATGAATGGAGTAGAGAAAATGGACAGTGAAGCTCTCCTTTATTTTTTATTAACACAGGAACTCTGGGTCATCCAATAAAACCATCAGCTGTTTTAGACTAGAAGAAAGAAAGTATTTTTTTCTTTTTTTTAGCATGATTAATTAGCAGAACTCAGATTGCAGGATGTAGTAGCTGCAGCTGGCAGTTTAAATGAGTTTCAAAGGGGATTAAGCAAAATCACAGAGAAAGAAGGGCCTATTAAGTGTTGTCAAACACAGCGGTGATATATTATCCACGTATTGCTTACGGTAATTCAAACATCACTTCAGGTGCACAAGTATAATTGTTTAAAACCAGATCTTCCTGAATTTCGAAAAGGGTATCTTTTGTGTGTTGTTGTTGTTATTTTTGTTTTTACAAAAAAATCAATTATATTTAAAAAAAACATTTCAAAGGAAATCAGAGATTATTACTAAAAAAGGTCCTGATTATTACTGAAAAAGGTCAGGACCTTTTTTTTGCAAGACAATAAAATTATTCAAATAAACAAATTATGTACTGTTTCTGAACCGCATGATTAAGTAATGTGAATTTGATGGTTGCTCAATTTCATAATGTGAATTTCATGTATTTTATCTGGCAGTAAAAGTTCTAAATCGGGCCCCCAACCTCCAGTCTACAGCCCGGTGCCA